ATATAAATAATACATAATAATAATACATAATAATAATAGTATATAATAATAATAATAATAATATGTAATATAAATGTTCACCCTTTGACAGTAACAGATAAGGGGAGATAACATCTGAAAACTTGCTGAAGTTTGATGGGGTAAATGAGGGTAGAGCTGATGCCAAAAGATGAGATAAACATCTCCCTCCTTTGTTTTTTGCTGGTATACTAACATTTCTGTCTGTCTATTTGCCTGTCTGTCAAGCTCCCTGTCTATCCATCTAGCTCTCTGTCTCAGAGAGCCACAAGACTGTGTCATCACTTTTACTCACATCTTCAAGCAGAGTATAGCACTTTGTCTGGTTTCTTGGGTTATCCTAGGTAATTTATACTATGTATACTTGTATTTATGTGTACCTGTGAGACAGAGATAAAAAGACAGATAGAATGGGGGAGAAAGATAATTAATAGAATGGAGGAAGGGAAGCAGCATCCGACCCATTGTTTTGACTGGCGGGAGGGGGTAGTGAGTAATGAGACAATATGTCATTTTGACAAGCTGCCGACTCCTGGTAATTTACACTATGGAGGAGAAGGAGAAGGAGGAAGAGTAGGGGGAAGAGGAAGAAGAGGAGAGGAGGAGAGGAAGAGGAAGAGTAGGAGGAAGAGGAATAAGAGGAAGAGGAGGAGGAAGAGGATAGTAGGAGGAAGATAGGGGAAGAGGAGGAAGAGGAAGAAGAGGAGGAGGAGGAGGAGGAAGAGTAGGAGGAAGAGGAAGAGTAGGAGGAAGAGGAAGAAGAGGAGGAGGAGGAAGAGGAGGAGGAGGAAGAGGAAGAGTAGAGGAAGAGGAAGATGAAGAGTATGAGGAAGAGTAGGGGGAAGAGGATGAAGAGTAGGGGGAAGAGAGAGGAAGAGGAAGAAGAGGAGGAGGAGGGGGAACACTAGTACACTGGTACTGGTACACTAACATTTCTGTCTGTCTATTTGTCTGTCTGTCAAGCTCCTGTCTATCCGTCTAGCTCTCTGTCTCAGAGAGCCACAAGACTGCCTCATCACTTTTACTCACATCTTCAAGCAGAGTATAGCACTTTGTCTGGATTTCTTGGGTTATCCTAGGTAATTTATACTATGTATACTTGTATTTATGTGTACCTGTGAGACAGAGGTAACAGACAGATAGAAAGAGAGAGAAGATTGAAAGAGATAGAATGAGGGAGAAAGATAAAACACCATTGTGTAGACACCATGTTTCAGAGTTCCACAAGCTGCAGAATAATAGGAATATGTTCAGTGACTGTATATTGGTATATATATTATAGAACAATAATAATAAACAATGTTTTGTATTGTTGTTTTTGTAAACAAGTTTTGTAAACAATATATTGATAATTAATGACTTAAGAAATCGTAATGACACGATTGCAAATAAACCATACCCCGGCCGGGATTGAACCCGCGGTCATAGAGTCTAGTGGTTAGCGCGACGGGCTGGAGTTTTGAGACTCTATGACCGCGGGTTCAATCCGGCCGGGGTATGGTTTATTGATAATTAATGTTTGTGTGCTTATTGTGTTGTATACAAGAGTGTATATATGTACATTGCACCTTACTTTGGTCTCATAGGCCACATAAGTTATGTGAAAAAATAAAATAGTGAAAAAAACAACAAACCTTCAAATACAAGTAAACTAAAGTTTTACCGGTTGTGAGGGCAGTCGCTGCTGTTGCCATACGCGGCTCATTTTCTGCAAACTTCATGCATCCATATCTCCGTAAGTATTGATGGTAAAATTTTTTTGTTTATCCTATAATGTTTAGAAAAAAAACTCTATTTTTCATAAGAAAAAAATAATTTTTTTTTTTTTGAAATTTGGCCGACCCTGAGAACGAGTTTCGGAGAGGGCCTTGTCGACCCCCAAAGGGTTAAAAAATGAAATTTTTCCAGTCTTGTTGGAGTGTTGGAAACAAGAACATTTTCTATAGTTCAACACAAAACAAATTGTGTACACTATAATATTACTGGCGGTAACTGTAGAAAATTATTCCTTTTGTATGTCTTCACTCAGAGCGTCATTCTTCTAAAAATGGTGTTACATGAGAATAAGAGTGTTGCTCTTTATTTATTCTACTGTACCAACTTGGAGACAACTTGTACACAATGTAAAATGTTTGTATTATGGTACAGCCTCTCCTCATTTAGCAACTTACTCGTTTATCAATGACTTGGGCTTACACGGGCTCTGACTAGTGTGCTTACCTAAATAATGTATATCGGAGCTGATTTCCTCTATTTTGTTTATTACAGTACACAGGACACTACTGTATAAACATTTAAAAATACACTAAATGATGAAAAGGTGACATTAAAACAATATCAAAGATGGTTGACTCAAACCCACTACCATTTTAGTGTGCTCCTCGCTTAATGATGAATCGTTTACCAACGTGGTCTTAGGAACGGAACTCCGTCATTAAGTGAGAAGAGGCTGTTTAATACAAACGTGTGTGAACCTAATAATGAGTGTACTATATGTGTATTTTAGTGTTTTATTTTTTAATGCCTAGTTTCTGTTGCTAACGTAACCCTTTGACTGTCGGTGTCATATAAATACGTCTTATGAGCCAGTGTTTTTGACGTATTAATACACCAAAGTTCTAGCGGCTTCAAATCAAGTATAAGAAACCTGGTAGGTTCTCATGTGAGAGAATGGGTCTGTGTGGTCAGTGTGTGCAGTATAAAAAAAAGTACAGCACGCAGTGCACAATGAAAAAAATAAAATTGGACTGTATTTTTAGATTAAAATGCCGAATTTGGTGGTGTATTTTTGTGTAGTATTTATGGTTGCATTCTCATTTTCTTGGTCTCATTTGATAGAACGAAGACATATTACAGAAATAGAGAGATTATTTTGATTGGTTTCATGATGAAACGGACCTTGAAATTGAGCTCAGAGTAGCAGAAATGTTCGATTTTTGCCAGTATTCAAGATTAAACAAATGACGTCACCGTCCAGTAGGTGTCCAACTAGCCATTCTGATATGCAGTCATGAATGGTTTGGCATTATTTATACAGTTATTACAACAATGCAGTATTCTGCATAACAGTAAATTTTCTTTTTTTTGTTTGAATAAAAATTCAAAATAGAAAGCCTGGAGACATGACTATTAAATAGAGAAAATCTTACTTTAGTGCCAGGAATGTCTGCATTGTTTTTTCTGAACCCTATTTTGAAATATGGCATCTTTTTTAATTTTGTGATATTGGCCAAATTTCCAATCTCTAACCACTTTACTGGGTAGTTGAAATCAGTAAATGGGCAGTTTCTTGTACTCAGTCGATAGAACAAATAGAGTTCTAAAGAAATAGCTATAAGTTTGGTTGACTGGAACTATGGGAGTGGCTAAAAATTGGGCGAAATCGCCGATGCGTACATATCGCCAAGATCACTAACTTTGCGAGAGCTTAATTCCGTAAGTTTTCCATCAAATTTCATACTTTTGGTATCATTGCCATCGGAAAAAGATTCTCTTATCATTTCATAAGAAAAAGCTTTTTTTTTCGAATTCACTGGTACCTCAGGATACAAACAGCTCAAAACGCGAACAATTATGTAAGTGCTTTCATAAGTGTATTTTTAGGAGTCTGAAATGGATTAATCTAATTTACATTATTCCTTATGTGAGCAAATTCATTTGATATCAGTACTCGAACTGCCTTCTGGAATGAAATAAGTTCATATCCCAAGGTACCACTGTATTTTGTGACACAAACACTTCAGGATTTGGGGTTAATATATGTTAGCGCAAACTTGATATTTAGCATTCATTTGCATTTATGATTGAAATAAGGGTGTTACACTTCATGGCGATTTCTGCTTTACGGCGGTAGCTTGGAACCTAACCTTCATATAAGTGGGGCCCTACTGTATTTTCATGTTTTATTGGCCTTATATGATTGTGCTGTTTCATTTTTATTTATCTCTCCTATGCATGAAATTAAACATAGTATATATTATATGTATCATAAAAAAAAATTCAATGTTCAGGTGCTTCTCAACTGAGTACAAAATCAATTTTAATTTCAGTCTAAAACTGGCAGCTTAATTTTAAGAGTTTTCTTTGTTAATGTCATTTACCTCTAAATAACATACAGTTTTTTTTACCATTTTTTTATCACTGTCAGTATTGAATTAATTTAACTTTAAATAAATATTGTCCTTCTGTTCCTGAGAATAATTTTATTATACTGGGACTTTATTAGTAAGGCAATCAGGGTATCAAATGATTTAGGTAATTAAAAACTGGTTATCAGATTGGAGGGAGTGAGTGAGTATGGAGGATGTGAATGTGTCCTAATATTTGGGGGTGGATGTGTCAGCAGATAGATATATAAAAGATGAGGTAAAAAATGGAATTAATGAAAAGGAAAAGGTTGGTGGTGCATTGAGGTATCTGTGGAGACAAAGGTTGTCCATGGAGGCAAAGAGGGGGATGTATGAGTGTAATAGTTGGTACCAACACTTTTTTTATGGGTGTGAAGCTTGGTTTTTGAATGTTGCAGTGAGGAGGTTGGAGGCATTAGAGGTGTTGTGTTTTTGAGGGCAATGTGTGGTGTAAATATTATGCAGAGAAATCATTGTTTTAAGATTAGGAGGACGTGTAGATACTAAAAGTGTTTTCCCAGAATGCCCGGAGGTGTTTTTTTGAGGTGGTTTGGTCATTTAGAGAGGATGGAGCAAAATAGATTTACTTGGAAGGTGTATAAATTTGTAGTGGAGGGAAGACTGGGTTTTGGGTTCATCCAGGAAAGGATGGAGGGGAGAGGGTAAAAATTTTGGGATGCAAGAGGTCTTACACGTACAAAAGGCATGTGTAAAAACACAAATGACCCGCACATAAAAGAGAGAAGCTTACGACGACGTTTCGGTCCAACTCGGACCATTGACAAAGTCACATTGGAAATGGGGTAAATGTGTTGGATAGGAGTGAGTGGGAAACAAGTGGTATTTTGGGACCTAATGAGCTGTTGGAGTGTGAGCAAGGTAATATTTTGTAAAGGGGATTTAGGGAGACTTGAGTCCTGGAGGTGAAAAGTACAGTGCCTGCACTCGAAGGAGGGGTTTGGGATATTTGCTGTTTGGGGATATCTAAACTTTCTTGTCTGTGTCCCTCTGGTGAGACAGTGAATGTGAATTATGGTGAAAGTGTTTCTTTTTTGGATTACCCTGCCTCAATGGAGATGCCAGTGTTAAAATGTATTATACACCACATGAAACACATGCATGCTATATCTTATATTTATTAATGGAAAACATTTGTGTTCCTTTTTTTTTATTTTTTTATTTTTTTTTTTTATTTTTTTAGAAACTGGAGGAAGAAATGTCATTCTCTACAACTGTGGGTAAGGTTCGGAGGCGTTTCTGCGAGATGACTGAACAATTTTTGTTAATGGAACATCATAATGCTCAACCTGGGACTATACATAGAGAAAGCAGACACCACGAGATGCTAACTAAGGTAAAATGAAACTCTTTATTATGTACGAGGAATATCATTACCTGGGGTCTGCCTAATTATTAGGAATATTTTTTTAGTTATTGACTCTAAATAAATTTATATTAAGTGATTTACAAATTATGACATTTGCTCAACCATCTTAACAGTGTTTCAATATTTTATCAAGTTTTTCATGTAGTTGGCAATGCTACTTTTAAAAAAAATCACAGTAAAATTAAAAACACTTAAAAAAAAAAAAATATGCATGTTTACTGCTGAACCCCAAGAGTTACTGGATTTCTTCTGAGGATTACAGTATTGAGGGAGAGAACATAATTCTTTTACATGAAGCCTTAATTGGGTCAAGACAGGTTCTGGTCTCTTGCTGTAGTCTATAGGTTTAAACTTGTAGCATTTCACAATCACCTCTGACTTGCAAGAATGAAATATATTTAAAAAATAAAATTAGGTTGCCATGTGGGAAATACTTTGAAGGAGGGGTGGGAATATTGCAGTTTGGAAGTGCATCTGTGCTGGAATATCAGCACATCTCTGGCACAGCTGATGGAGTGAGTGAATGGAAAGATGTTTTTTTTTTTCAGTCACCCTACCTTGGCAGAAGATGGCCGGAGTGTTAAGGTGTTTATAATTCAAGGGGTCTTATAGGTAGTAGGAATTGTCACACTCTTTGCCGGTAGTGAAGGAGATTGGGAGGGTCTATAAAAGGAGTACAGTGGACCCCCGAGTTTCGTGATGAATCCATTCCAGAGAGTCTGCCAGAAGTCGGAATTCACGAATGTTGAAACCATTTTCCCCATAAGAAACAATGTAAATCCAATTAACCCTTTCAGGGTCCAAACCGTAGATCTACGCCAAAATTCTAGCAGCGTCAAATCTAGCGCGAGAAGGCTAGTAGGCCTACAGCTGAGAGAATGGGTCTGGGTGGTCAGTGAGCACACCATAGAAAAAATTTTGACGCCCGCATGGCATTGTGGGAACGCCGGCAAAGTAGCTTTGTTCATTGTGCCTGGCGGCAAGGAAACTCTCACTCCCCACTCACTCTCTGGGCGAATTCTGACTCTCCTCTTCACAACTTACAGTTCTAAGACTGATGGAAGTGGAGATGAAGACGAATTCTATGGTTTTGAACCATATGGTACCATTGTGCCATATGGTACAATGGTGCCATGTCATACAATGGTATATGGTACAATGGGTATCGTATGGAGAGTGGTACCATATGTACAATGTACCATATAGTACATTGTACCATATGGTACATTATACCAAATGGTACAGGGTACAGGGACCCTAATGGAAATAAGTCTGTCTGACTTTTTTGGGTTATCCTAGGTTCTCCAAACATATGCTGCTAAGTATGATATTCTATGTAACTTTATTTGTGTATAACTAAACAAACTTACTTATGATGCCACATGCACTGGAGTAAATTTATTCAGGTGTACAGAAATACAATTACATAGATTATCATACATAGCAGCATACGTACAAAATCCTAGGATAACCCAAAAAAGTCAGGTTGACTTATTTCCATAGTTATCCCTGTATCTGTACCATATGGTGTCCTGTACTGTATGGTACCCTGTACCATATGGTACCCTGTACCATATGGTACCCTGTACCATATGTCATCCTGTACTGCATGGTACCTTAACCCTTAAACAGTCCAAACGTATATATACATTCACGCGCGTAGCGCCCCAAACGTATAAATACGTTTTCTTTGTCATTCATTCAACATTGCCACAATAAGCCTGAGTCACCTAGACATGAGAGAATGGGTGTGCGCACTCACTGTGTGCCATATTAAAATAATTGGGGATGGTTGGGTACCATATGCTCTTTTTTCCTATTAAAAAAAAAAAAGATTTTTTTTCTCTCAAAAAATTTGGGGCGCTACTTGAGTGAACGTATATATACGTTTGGACCGTTTAAGGGCTATACCATATAATACAATGTACCATATGGTACCCTGTAACATATGATACCGTGTACCATATGGTCAATAGGTGTTGGTGGCATGGGGCACCAGCCAAGATTGAGTGAGGGGCCCGAACGGAAGCTAGCTACGGCTTCGCAGTTTCCGAAACAAAGTGCTTTGTCATCCACCTAAAGGAACACGTCAAGTTCCTGTACACTTGTAAATATATAATAGAACATTACTAATATACAGCATTTTTGCATATTTTTGTTGTAAACTATTGTAAACAAAATAATAAAAATATTAGTGTGTTTATTGTGTTGAATACAACAGCGCAGCGGCAAGCAACGGTATCCTACCAGCTCTTCTTTCTCAAAAAAAACATCGCTCATCAAAACTTGTGATGGCCAAAAGGAAATTTCCCAACTACATGAACCCACGTAGACCACAACATGACCCAAGAATACTAAGAATGTAACCCAAATCTTGACAAAATTAGAAGATCTAAGGAAGACAGCCCTGCTAACCCAAACACTGCCTCCGCTGGCCAGACAACCACTTAAACCCAAGCTCCGAGAAAACAAGCCTTCTCCTCCATTGCAAACACAGAAATCTACTTCAGTGATACTATGAAAGGATATCGCAGAAGAAAAAAACCCACCAGTAAAAATAGAATAACAGCAAGGACCCTAAAAACTCAACTTGTCTACCCAGCAGGACGCCAGTGTATCATCAACCCCCCCACCGCCGCCACCCAGGGGAAAAACAACAACAACAACAACAAACATGGCCCCACTCCCCCTCCAACTCCACTCCCTTCAAAGGATTCACCCATGATAACTCAGGTATGATTATTCCTGACAATATCAAGGACTACATCGTTGCTCTAGAAAAATGAAATCAAAGATATCAAAGCAAAAACTCGAGCGAAAGAGAATCCAAGATAACCAACCTCGAGAACAAGATCCCCAAAAACCTTGAAGAGAAGATTACATCGGGAAGTGTTTAAACAGAAAATATCTAAAAGCAGCATACCCAGTCACACTGAGCAAATAACAACAATAAATTTTGAAGGTTGAAGAAGCCAACAAGGACGGAATCAGAACATGCACACTCGACTAAAAGAATACCTTTTATTTCCAAGACAACAAAACTGACAAGATAAGTTGTCTGATGCAGTTATAATAAACAGTCCACACATTCCTAGTGACATAACACAAGCACAGTGCAAAGAAACTGCTATCAGGATAATACAGAACCACGTACAAGTCATCGTGCAAAACAATGAAATCAAAGAAACACTTTTTCTAGGAAAACCCGGAAGTAAACACAGTATAATGATCAGACTTCATTCATACGATAAAAGAAAGGACCTAATTAAATCAGCAATTACAATGAAAAATGGGGAGTGGGAAAATAAATGAGTGTCCCAACAAAAAAACGTCAAAAACTTCTGTTCAGGCTGAGAAAACTTAAACAGGAAAACAAAAAACATCAGTGTTTCACGCGAGATGGGAAAATACTAGTAAGGAAAACATCAAAGGAAAAAACAATATCCATCTCAAACGAACATGATTTCCTCCCCTTCCTTAAAAAAGCTGACATTTCTGTAACAGATTAGATAATCCCCTTTTTTACATATAAATGTGTGGTGCATATAGGGGTACGTTATTTTTATTTTGGTGTTTATTATTTTTATTATTTTTCTCACTAGCTAAAAACCCAACTACCTCCAATACTCTATACTTTTTTCTTACTGCTTTTTTAATTGCTAAAAAAATTTTTTTTTAAATTAAAAAGTCAAATCTTACCCCAAAATTTAAAATAATTTTCATTATTCTTCCCTGCCCCTTTTAATTTTTTTTATCACTACTTTTTTTTTAGTCCCCTTTTTAATTGTGTATCCCAATTAGGGTAAAATTCCAATTATTTTTTTGCAAGTCCCCAAAACTATCTTTTGCTAGCTAGTCCCAAACTACCTCTTTTTTTTTTTAATTTTTTATTGGCAAAAAAACTGCTCAATTTATTTAATTTTACAAATCAAAATTTTAACCCCTAAACCAAATTTATTTCATAGTGCCCCACTTTTCCATTTAATTTTGTTTCCATTATTTAATTTTTTTCTTCTTCTTTTTTTTTAGAAATTGAATAATTTAAGTTTGGGGGGGGGCCCAGGTGTAAATAAGGGGGAAAGCCCTTTGATTGAACTTTGTTTTGAAAGGGGTTTAGTTATAGGTAATACATATTTTAAGAAAAAGGGGATAAATAAGAAATACACATATGATGTAGGGCAAAATTTGAAAAGTATTTTGTTTGGATTATGTTTTGGGAGAAAAAAAAAGGGACTGTTGAGTAGCTTCAGGATGTACATGTTTATAGGGGGGGCCCGATATATCAGATCATTTTTCTAGTTGTAGCTACACTGAGAGTAAAAGGAAAGATGGAATACAAGGAAATAGAAGCATCGGGGAAGAGAGGGGTAAAGGGTTTTAAAAAACAAAAAAGGGAGGCATTTTAGGGGTTAAAAAAAAACCGCATTGGAGGAAAAAGGGCTAATGAGGCATAGGAAAAGGGGGCCCGAAGGGTAGGGGGGTAGGTTTAAAAATTTTAGTTAGAGTGTTCGGGCAGAATTTTGGGTTCGGGAAAAAGGGGGTGCAGGGGGGAAGGGGGCGTTTTGGTGGAATGAGATGTAAAGAGAGTATAAGGGAAAAAAATTTTAGCATATGAAAATTTTTTTACAAAGTAAAATGATGCAAAGGGGGGAAAAAGTTTTATGGAGAAAAAAAAGGGGGAAAGTTAAGGGAGGGTTTTGAAAGCAATGAAAAAAAAGAGAGCAAATGGGGGTTTGGGTGAAAAATTGTTACAACAAATTTTGTTGAAAAAAAAAAAAAGTTTTGGAGTGAGATTAAAAATTTTAAGAAAGCCTAAGAACAAAGGGATTTTTTCAGTTAAAAATAGGAGAGGAGATTTTATTAAATGGAGGGGGTTTAGAGGTTTTGGGGAAGATGGAAGGAATATTTTGAGGAATTGTTAAATGTTGATGAAGATGGGGAAAGCGTGATTTCTTTGTATGGGGGCA